CTAGGTCTGATCACTTTCAGTGAATAAATCAACAACTTACATGCTAATGGCATGTTAATGTTCAAGGGAAACACGGGAAGCAGAGTTGTGCTGGGCCTTTTATCTCCAGAGCATGAGTCTCCTGGGGGCATGGTTTGTCTCAATGTTGAGGAATTCAGGATCCACTGGGAGAAGCTTGCAAGGTGCAGGCTCTAAGTGAAGACCTGGAGAGCATCAGTTCTGCCGTATAGTCGCCTGGAAGCCAACAGTTGCTCTTCTTAGATTCTCCATAAATCTACATACTCTCTCTCTCCAACAACAGCTGTGTTACTCCTTCCTCCATGGCATATGGTATTGTTAATCACTCTTACTGAAAATGTTTAGTTCTAAGAGGAAAGCTTTTCATCTTTTACTGCTGTATACAAGGATGAATGTCTCTTCCCCTTCCCCTTCCCATCCCTCCTCCTCTCCTCCAGGAATTTTGCATTACTAGACAGGGCACAAGAAGCTATGGCCATATTGACTTATCCCACAACCATCTGAGTTGATGGCAATTCACAGGGGTATCAATTTTTGTTGTTGCGTGATTTCTAGGTGTGTTTCTGTGAAAGATGTTGCCTCTAGCATAAGAGGGAAAATATATGTTCAGGAGTCCTTTTAGCCTCTGTTGCATCTTAAATTGCCTGGGCTGCATTGGTCTTTTTCTTCAAAATCTGTGAATTTCCTGGCAATGGTGTTAGACCCACTGAAAGACTGATGTGTGTCATCTGCAGTGGTTTGTTGGCACGAAGCTTGAAAAATTTGGGGTATGAAATTATTTGAACCGTGCTTTCAGTGCAAACACTAAAACAGACCATTGAAGTTAATGGAGGGGCTGAAACAAACCCTACCTGAATACCTTCTAGTGTGAACCCAGCACTTAACAGCTCAATTGTGCTATGAGGATGAATGAAAAGAAATGTTTAAACCTGTTACTGTAGCATAATTGACACATTTTTGAAGGTACCGGAAAGTATGGCAACTGAGAAGCTATGAGGAAACCTCTCCAAGTAAAATGTCGTAGTGGAAGTTTTATGGAAAACTGCAGACTTGAAAGACTCTGCAGTATAAAAATGAACCTTTTTTATCTGCTGAGTAGTGACAATGGGAACACATAGTAAATCCTGCAGGTTTCTAACTTTGCAATTTTTTTCCTAAATATTTCGTTGAGATGATGGATTTCTTCTCTGCACTTTTTAACCACTTTCATACAGGGTTAATGCTTGGGGCATGTCATTTAACACTTCAGGCTTTGAACCCCCTAGGCATGTATGATGATACCAGGTAAAAGATTTTCCTGGCTTTTTCTAGGGGTGTTTGGGGAATGTTCTACTATTTGCTGAAAGACTTAAATACCACCTCACTCTGGTATCTGAACCAGGTGGCCCATCATTTCTCATATCTCAGGCCCGTTTCTAAAAGCAAGAGAAGGAACGAGAAAATTAGATCCATGTTTGCTAAATTAACCTGTCTTGGTTTCTTATTCTTTTCCTGATACCCTACCTGCCTGCTTGCAATGTCATCATTTTTCACAGCACCCATATGCCTCAAATACACCTTAGCAGAATAGGTCCAGGGCCAGTACATTTGATATCAACCCGGAGGACAAGTAGAAGGTCCTTGGTCCGATACCTACAGCAAGGACAGTCTTTTTTTAAGTGGTAGATGTGGAAGGAAGGAGGAGAACAATAGGAAATCACAACAACGTTGTCCTCCCAAAATGTGGAAATTTCCATTTGTGTCCAGTGCCAGCAGGGTGATGTCTGTCAGTCTGGATCGCAGTTCAGATAGGATGCTGCCTTTTCTAATGCTATGGGAAACTTTGAACTAAGTTAAAAGATGAACTGCTGCTTTATTCTGCATCATTCCAGCTTTGTTTTGTCAAAGTCATTCTACAGTTTACAACGTTGTGGATCTCTCAAATGCAGTAAAACAAGCGGACCTGGCATCCTTACCTGGATGCTAGGTCCTGTGGGCATTGTTTAGGGTTACATCCAAGCAGCAGCAAAATACAGGGTGTTTTTGTAGCTTCCCTCAAGCCAGGAATACACTGCTAGCAGGAAAAGGGCCATCTGAAGTACATTTTGCAGCTATTTGTTCTCTTAAATAGTTTAAACATAAGCTGCTGCTATCTGTATAAAACATGGTTACATAAAAAGAAGTCTGCTCCTGGAAAACTAATTTGAGTTGTATTATTGCATCCAGAGGAGGAAATATAATGAGAGAAATGTTTTTTAAAAACACCCATTGGTTAGTCACAGTCGCATAATCAAGAGTCTTGGCCTCTTGCCCACAGTTCTGTTTTCCTGTGGGGCTTTTTGCCTTTTTTTTTTTTGGGGGGGGGGGGGGCGGATAACATTTAGTCTCCCTCCAGGCATACATAACCTTTTTACACAGAAAAGCAGACAAGCATGGCAAAATATGTATTGGGGATGGGGAGAGGGAAATCTGGGATAGCAGCTGGTAATGAGGAAAGGCAGCTTTCCTCAACCAACAGGAAATCTGATTAGATAGATAGAAAATGTTAAGGATGCTAATGTGAAACAAGCAGCTTTGCGGTTGCCCTTGACAATGGCTTGTTATCTTCATCCCTAGCAGTGGGATGACTGGCAGAGCCAGTCCCGGGGGCGAGGAAAAGGTAGGACATTTAAGCACATTATGTGGGAGGTTGACTCTTGCGCCTACTCCATGTGCACATGCGGTTTTGTCACCAGCAGAAATTCAGAGCCTTTATGTTGTCATACTGAATGTCCCTTAGGTGCTCCAAGTGTCGTGTCACCACTGATAGTACTGTTACTTGGCACTCTAATTATACACTTTTCTACTAGACCAAATCAGTCCTATTAGCCCAGCTCCCTCATTTAATTATGTTAATACCTGTGTATTTCTGCACTTTAGAGGAGAAAAAGAAAGAAGAAGGGGGAGGAGAACCTGTATTTGAAATCATGGAGAACTGTGAGAGGTTTTTAAACTTTATATATTGTTCAGAACTGAAAAAAGACCTTGTATTCCAGTGGGGAATAATAGAGATGAGCCATGTGAAACGTAGGTACATTCGCCTGTGCCGGTTGTGTCTGAGATGACCCGGCACACTTGGCTGTGAGACACCAGCGAGGAGGTTTAGCATCTGCACTGCGGGTGTATTCAACCTCAGATTTAATCTGGACCAACAGCTGCCTGAAAGGAACTCGCTGGTTCATTGAGTAGGGGCTCCTACTAAGTCATATGATCCTATTTATAAACTTTATCAGGGTTGTGGTCCCTTTATACTAAATTAATCACATTTCCTAATCTTCCACGATGGTTTTCATCACGTCTTCTGCTT